GTGTGTGTGTGTGTGTGTGTGTGTGTGTGTGTGTGTGTAGGGTAAAGGGATAGCCCTTTTCCACTCTATACTTTCCAGTACAGTTTGAATTTTCTCTTGAAAAACCTATTAGCTGTTTTATCAGTGGAATTGACACACACACACACACACACACACACACACACCCTCTGCTAGGCTTATCTGTAGTAGAAATGTAAGCTCAGGGATAGGCTTATCTGTAGTAGAAATGTAAGCTCAGGGAACACCCTTCGTCGAAATGCCAGACAACGGCCATTCTCGGGGGAGAAGAAAGCAAATCAGACCAAACCAGCGGGCAGCAAGTTGACCGGGACTCACAGTGACCCAAGATGTGTGCCTGAGCAGAACTGGGCTCCATTGATTTTCTTTCTTTCTTTTGACTTTAAAGAACAGAATTTACTACTTTACAGTTTTTAGGCTAAAAGTTCAAACCCGGGCACTGACCTTAAGGGAGGATCCATCTTTACCAGTAGGTAGTCTGCAATTCACACATTCACATTCCTCAGTGCCCCCGCCCCACATTCTCTCTCTGTGTGTCCTCCTTCTTCTTCTTCCTTTTTTTATAACTCCGAAGTAATTAGGTTTGGGACCCACTCATTAACATGGCAAATGAAACTCCACTCTTTCCAAACAGGATTACATCCAGAGGTCCGTGGTCCATAGTTCAGTCCACGTGCCATTGATTTTCAATGTTTGCTTTTTTTTTGGTAATTCAATTAAAAAATTATTTTATTGGGGGCTTGTACAATTCTCATCACAATCCATCCATCCATCCATCCATGTGTCAAACACATATGCACATTTGTTGCCCTCATCATTCTCAAAACTTTTGCCTCCCAATCTAGCCCCTAATATCAGTTGCTCATTTTCCCCCTCTCTCCCCTATCCCCCCTCCCTCCCCTCTCCCCCCTCCCTCATGAACCCTTCATAGTTCATAAATTATTATAGTTTTGTCATAAGTTACCCTGTCCGATGTTTCCCTCCGCCCTCTTCTCTGCTGTCCGTCCCCCAGGGAGGAGGCAATACGTAGATTCTTGTCATTGGTTTCCCTGCTTTTTTTGTCAATGGCTGATTTTTGGTAGGTAGCTCTCCCGGCCTCCCTTCCAAGGCCCAGAGAGACAGAGGGGACTTGAACCACCGACTTCTCAGCCAGCAGCCAAGGGAGTTACTGTTCGCATCACCCTGGGACTCCTGGGGAGAGAAGAAAAGGAGATGGAATTGGAATTAGGGGACGGTGGGAAAGAGGCTCCAACTTTTCCTGTTCTTTCACAAACAGAAGGGGGAAGGCGAGCCGGAAGCATTTGCCTCTTCCTGTGGTGGGTGCAGGGGTGCTTTAGGAATGAGCTTTTATTGTTAGGTGCCATCCAGTCGGTTCCAACTCAGAGTGACCTTATGGGCCACAGGACCCAACGCTGCCCGGTCCTGTCCCACCCTCTCACAATGGTTCTG